GCTCTGACTGATGGACTCTGGTCATGCGATCCATGCTGCTGCCTAATTACCCAGATGTGATGGATGGGATTGATTAAATCATGTGAAGTCTGAGACAGTAGCACCTCGCTCCCCGTCTGTCCTGTTCTCTTCTATTGTTAACACACACACACACACACACACACACACACACACACACACGCGCACACACACACACACACACACACACGCACACACACGCACACACACACACACACACCACACACACACACACACCGGCCCACGCAGCATGTAGTCTCTTTATTTGAATCTTAACTGTGTTTCTTTCTCCGCCCGTTTTGGGAGTTGTGCAGTTCAGTACAGATGAACCGTACTTTCAGAAATAATGAAAGATATCCATGAATCACTCTGAACGAGGACGAGAGGGAAGTAACTGACAGCTGGAGGATAAAGCGCAGAGTTGGAGGGAAGAAGTGAATATTAGAAACTGATTAAACCAGACTCGTGTCACATTTCACACAGACTGTAAGCCCTCACTTCTTACCGCCGAAAGTCATTCAAAGCGTTCACTTCATTTATAGTGAAGCGATTCAGTGTATGATTTTTTTTATTGTTTTTTTTACCATTTTTGGACGGTGTGAGAAACTGTCCACAATCGTATTCTGAAAGGTAATTTAGCTGCTGGCTGAGATAAATGGGAACACCTATATTCATCTCCTGGAAACAACTTACACAGAGACCTATTAACATCTATATTCATACTTATGATCAAGTCTTACTACATACTATAAGCTAAAGATAGATAAGGACTTTGACTGGACCATTCCAGTGAATATACTTTGGTCGAAACCTCGGTATAGTAAGTCTCACGGTATGCATATGGCTCTTGCCCATCTTCCCTTCAACTTTAATTTCCCTGATGAGGAAGAAAAAAGAACATAAATCTTCACAACATGATCAATCAATCAATCAATCAAATTTGATTTGGATAGCAAGGCATTTCAAAGTGCTTCTTGGTGTGTTTAGGTTTTGTGGCAAACTGCAAACGGAGCTTTTTAAGGTTTCCTTCGAACAAAAGCTTTTAAAAGCCAGATTTGTGGCGCAGGCGACGAACGTTTGTTGAAGTCAACAGAAATCTGAAAAGGGTCGAGGTGTTCATACCGTACCGTCTGCCCTCGCTGTGGCTTGCTAAAAGGATAGCTAACTCTTCCCCTGAATACAGCCTGAATAGTTATCAATAGCTCTATTATTCAACACCCCGTTGGTCTGAGTACAACTGCAAAAGTAAAGTAGATGCTATAGCAACTAACAGCTCTGACCGTCCATCAAGATTCAAACAGGAAGTGCTAACTCTGTGACTTCTGGTGTCCCTGTTTTCGCCCAATCAATACAGTTTCACACTGAACAAAGATGTCGGAGGTGCAATTTCTAATTATGCGCTTTGTGGTATTCCTACTCTAATGTCTCGGATTAAAAAAATACTGAATGGCGCGGGAGCTTCAGACACGTCACCCCAAGCAATTATCATACCGATGCCCCTGCTCACATGGTAACGGGTTCTCCTGCCCCCCCCCTCTTTCCAATTCATCACAGCAGTGCAAACCAAACTACAAACACCCTAATGTGCTTTCTAACGACATGCTGTCCGCCGGCGCTCCAGAAAGCTGCCGTTTGAAGTCACTTGCCCAGAAACAGTCGGCCGACAGCAGGACAACTGGGCACACGGCCACTTCCCACACGCGTGAAATAAAGACACATGTGTTGCGCGGCACGCAAGGCAACGGTTCAGGAGTCACGCCAGTGTAAGAGAACAAGAGAGGCTCTAGCTGAGTAGCCTTTTGACCTTTTTTGAGAAGCCTACCAGATTGTTAAAGAGACAATGTTCTGCTCATTTGTGGGGAGATTTACAGTCTTATCTTTAGGTTCCACTTTGGATGATTAATGCTTTAATGCTGCAAAACTACATCATTTCATTTAAGCAACAGTTTGGACCTGTGTGGCTTTGTGCTGGCCTGAAGCACAGTTTAGGAGGAGATTATAATTTTTTTTTTCTTCTGTCAAAGCAACAAGGAAATATCCCTGAAAAGTGAAAAGATGCTTGACATGGAGATGCTGACAGATGTTCTGATGGCTCAAATTGATTCGGCTTCATCTAGGAAGCCTATAGCAAACACGTAAAACAGATATCTGTTGGAACGGTGCTGTGTTCAGATGTTCATGCACTCCCAGGAACATCCTGTGATGGACTGGTGACCTTTACAGAGAAAGCTACTCCACCAGGTTGAGCCATTTCTTGCTCACTCTGTCACCGGCAGCATCGTCTAACAAGCAAGAACAAAGGGTACCAAGGAAAAATTTTTTTTTTTTGGCCAACACTTAATTTGAACAAGTCTTTGGGTTCAACACTTATTTATTCGGCTGTTTACCTCCCCTGATAAAGCGTCAGAGTTAATATGATTCACATGGCGTTCTCAACATTTAAACGCCACAGAAATGTCAGTGTCGTGGGAAAGTGTTGACTTTTCCCAGCTGTGCTGATCTTTGCTAAACAAGTTTTCTATGCGGTTGGTTTGGATGTTGCACTAAAATTGTCAAAAAAAAAACCCAAAAGAAAACAAACAAACAAACAAAAAAAAATCTAAATGCGAGGAATCAGCGTCCCACATCAAGCGCCAGCAGCAAATTTTCCGGACAACGGACGAAATGGCTGATTGATATGTTACGTCAGCCGTAAGGTTCACTCGACGTGTGTGAGGTTTAACGAACGGCGTGGAAACAGGAGCCAAATCAGGCGAAGACATCAAGGCACAGTGTTACATAACGTCTAAATGGCGCACCGTACTTATCCCGGCGCTGGTGCATGGAGGGGCTCCGGACCTCCACGCCCCCCCCGCCTCCCCCCTCCTGTGTTTTGTGTGAACACATATCGCTGTGGCAACAGTGCACAGCCGCCTCAGCGATATCAAACGTAAAAGGTTTTCAGCTCCAGGAGCAACGTTTTCGATGCAGTTGGAGCGGCGGGGGCGCATCGCAAGTCATCTGGAGGTTCAATGCCATCGGCGAAAACAGGCCCACAAAAACGCGGAGCGCGTTCAGTCTTTCAGCAGCTCTCTCTCTCTCTGCTGATATAATTAAGTGGAAGCCTCAGAGTTTACTAAACCCCTGTCAGATGCAAAGCTCTATCAGCTGTGGAAGTGATTGATTAAAAAAAAATAAAGGGGGTCGGAGGAATGAGGACAGAGGATAAATAAAAATGACAGTCGGTCGTGAAGGAGATCCAGGGAAGAGAGTCAAGTCATTTCGGCCCATTTGAGAGGCAATGCATCCAGATTACTTCCAGACACCAGATGGACTGAGCGCTGATGTCAAAGCACTAATGTGAGACAAACGACAAAGAAGAAGAGGAGAGAGGGAGGGGAAGGAGGAGAGCGAGTCTAAGAATAGAAGTACAACCTCGAGCCAGCACAATCGGTCAGCCCTGGCTGCTATTTTCTACTTCACTACTGTGTCAGCCGCATGTCGGACATCTCACGTCTCGTTCCGTTTCGCTCTCCTTATGTGGCAAACAGAGACGCCAACAGTGGAAGTTTCTTATACAGAACTTTCAGGGGATCCTGAGCAGCGCCGCGTCTCAAACTGCTGTAAAACTCTAAGTGAGAACTCGAAAACATCAACTTTCACACCAAAAACCATCGTTTAGAGAACACTATTCACCCACGCAGCATTTTGTCATGTTATGTTACAAACTTATGAGAGACCAATGCAAAGTGCTGTGCAATTGTGAATTGGAAAAATCTGATTTGTGTCTTTCTAATGAGTCCATCATGCATAAATAAAATCCTGCACTAACTTTTTCCAGAAGTCAACTAATTGGTACCTACTAGAGATGTAGCGATACCTAAAACTCACAGGATGAGACAAGTCACTGTGGTTTTCTTTTTTTAGATATAAGATTTAATATTGCTTTCAAGAAAACTTCAAAAATCAACTTTATGCTTCAAAAAGGCCTGCGGCCTGCATTTGTATTGCTTTTCACCACTAACTCAACAAACTTGTGCCTTTTCTCCGATTTATTTTTCATCTCTGCAGAGCTTAGGACAGCGCTTCAACTACGCATGATCTGCGGTGCGACGCTTACCATTTCCTAGTTTCACCCGATTGCGGCTGCGATTGTGATGTCGCTCTTTGCACCCTGGGACATTTTGTCAGTTGTTAAGGTGACGCTCTCTGCCCACGTCAGCAACCGAACAGTTTCCAGTGCTCACATATTGTCCATCGCTCTGTGGCCGTTTAGCGCAGTAACCCAAACTGCTGCCAAGCAAATGATGGTTGGGGCATCCGCTATCATAACTTCATCAGGCGAAGCCAAGCTGACTGCAACTTGGTTGGACTTGTGGGGTAGCAGTTATCTCAACGAAAAATGTGACGTTTTAAATTCAGAAGAATACATGCAAAAGTAAGGGACACAGCAAACATGTTTTGGTTGAATGAGACCAAATGGACGTCATGAAATATGGTGGCGGCATCATCTTGTTTTGAGATTTCTATCCTCCCACAGAGTTGGGGAAACTGCTCAGTGTTGATGGAAAGACAGATGGATGCAAAGACAGGGCGATTCTGGATGAAAACTCCTTAGCGGCAACCCTGAACATGCTACAAAATGCTTCGTAGAATCAATGCTAATCCTAATACGAAACACTGATTCAGGGATCCTGAGTTCAAATGCAAGGTACCCAGGTATTTTACTACTTTCCTTCCGGTTTGAAGGGATACTGTACAAATATATCCAATAAAATACAGAAACATTTGCGATTGCAATGTGAGAAAAAATTAAGTGGTGTGAATACATCAGCAAGGTGCTGCATTAAGCTTTTTTTCCCCTTAATCTGGGTTAATCTCTCCGGGGCTCGGAATTCAAGGACGCACCAGACAAAACTGGAGTGTGAGCAGAACTCAGGTGACAGAGCAGCTCCAGGAATCACTGCTGTGCATGCGCGTGCTCGTGCCCACCATCAGCTTACCACAGTCTCATCAGAAAAAGGTGCTCCATGTCTTTACGTAGAAGGGGACGGCGCAATAAATCAGAGCCAGTCAGTCTGTGGGGAAAACAGCAAAGAGAAAGAAAAAGAGAGCCGTCAGGGAGGCACGCACAAGACAAACCTCACATCATGCATCACACATCTCTGGCAGTGAGCGTTTAGCGGCGCCCCTCCTGCCCCGGCCCCCCCTATCGGGGGGAAGGTACCGCTCCCCATAAGCTCTGACCTGTAAACGGGTCCCTTGCGGCGCCTGCAATGTGGTGGAAAATCTGCGCCTGTGTGCCGCTTCTTTTTTCCTCTTTCTCGGGTCCCAAAACAAGAAGCTTCCCCGGCTGCCTCACTAACACACTTCAGCTCCCCACCGTTCGGTTCCACAGGCCCTGGAGCCACGAACGGTGGGAAGGCAGAAGGATATGAAAAAGAGGAGAGGGAGGGAAACGGCGCAGTGAAATTTGCCACGGAGATAAAAGGGCTGTGTGCGAAGGACGGGAAAGAAACGGAAGCAATAAAAAAAGAAAAGAAAAGAAAGAAAGAAGAGGGGATGACTAAGCTGGCTTAATTGAGCGCATGCTGTCTCCAATTACGTCCTAAAGGTAGCATGTGTGAAATGATTTGAAACTTTAGAAAAGAGCAGAACAGTTTTGGAGGAGGAACGATTTGTTTTGCTTTCTTGTTAAACTTAAATACTTCAGCTCAGCATCTACTATAAATGATAAACATATCCAAACCAAACATAAGAAAATACATACGCCTTTGCGTGTTGATCCGTGAATTATTTGCAATTAGCAACATTTTTCTGGGTGAGAGTGATACGACTCGTGCCAAATTAGTCGATTAAAAAAAAGAGAGAGAGAGAAAAAAAAGAAGTCACTGCAAGAGAGCCTGTCTAACAGCATGAAGTCGGCCAAAAGATCCTGAAAAGCATCACGTCATGACCCGGTTTAAAGAAACGGCCCTGACTACCAAAGTCGCTCCAAGAGCACAGCTGCGTTATCTCTGACCGTGAACGACAACCGGATGTTGACACTGGCAGAAACCGCAAAGACGACGACGACAGGAAGCAGTTAGAGTGTTGTGCTTTTCAACGACTCGTCACGTGAGCAAACGGATTCACGTCACGAGTTTAATTGCGTTTGATGCAAACAGAGCAACAGTTTGACATTGGCGGAACGGCGGAAGTGTTGAGCACATTTGTAATGCAAACGCAAGTGGTGACACACGAACACAGAGCAATATATTCTACCTCAGTTTAATATCATTTCTAATAATTTCAGTGTGACAAGGACAAAGCAAAATGCCCTACATTGGGAAGTTCGAAGACGAAACTCATCATGACCAAAACGTGAAGGGTTTTGGTCAGTTTCCCTTTAAGACAAAATAGCTTTGGAAGCAGTGAGACAAAAGCAGAGCCTTTTGGAGGCTGCACCCTGCATTCACTCTGACACCACATCAGAAAACATTAACGGCAAAGCTGGTGGTTTTATCATGACGCAGGACTGCTTTGCTTCTTTGAGACACAGGTGACATGCTGTATCTGATGAGACGATGATTCCTGTTACCTACCAATAAATCCTTAAGCAGAAGATCTAACCAACCGGTTCCTGACCGTAACCCCAAGCACACTTGACTAATCCAACAAAACAAAACCAACATCAGCGAGTATGACTCCGACTGGCCAAGTCAAAGTCTGACTTATTTATAATGTATCGCCGTGACAAGAGCGTTTGTGCTGCAAGCACTTTTGTGTGCCTGATTTGAAGCCGCTCTGCAAAGAAAAGTGGATCTAATTTGCTTCCCAGTGATGTAAAGAGCAATGCAAATGACCGATTGGCCGTCGCTGAGACAAAAGCAGAAGTGATTCAATGAGAGAACACACTGCTTAATGGCAATGCAAAAGCATGTTTGCATTGCCATTGTTCACTGAAATTGAGACGATTATTAGACGGAATGAAAATTGCGGTATAAATCCCCTTTGTGCTACATGAGCTAAGAGCAACGGAGCTAACTGCAGTCGCATTAAACGGTGCCAAGGGGCTCCACGTGCTTTCATTACCCCTCCATTAGCCTTAGCATTGCTACAGTGATCGCTGAAAGCCCCGGCTCCCTTTTCTTTTCCCTGCGCCTCATTAAAACAAAACGTTCACCCTCAGCATGTGTTAGTTCTGGGCTCCATAGCAACGGCGGCTAATAGACGCCCCGCGCCGGCTCAGTTTGAACCGCCTTGGAGGAGACGCGCACCTCCAATCCCCACAACAAGAGTTCGATTTCACTTTCGCTGTGATCACCTTGTAATCACGTCTCGCGAAGCACAGCCGAAGACGCGTGACGTGCTGTTGCGCCCGGGGACCCCGGGACGCAGTCATCACAAAAAAAACAACAACAAAAAACAGGCTTTAATATGCATTGTATGACATGAGGCATCATCAAACAGAACATGGCAGATGCTCTCGCGGGCTCCTATCGATTTGCGGGGAAGTGTGCGCGGCACGTCGCACGTGCGCGCCCGCGTGTGACGTGTCGCTCGCTCGCAGCAGAGATAATTAGAACACAACTCTTTTGCTGTCCCTGCAGGCCACTGATCCAGCTGCTTTCATCTAATATAGGTCAGCTGTGACAAAGCCCTCAGCATGGACACTGATCTGCTCTGCTAGCTCCCACGTACACACAAGAGATGAAATTAAAACTCGTATGCAAACACACACACACGCATATGATTAGATATGCTCACTGCGTGCTGATGGCACATACAGTCTGTCCTCTGCTCATGCAGATGCCCATGCACACAGCGGGTGACGCTTCCAGGGTTGGCCCCAGATGCGTGGGACGCTCACCGCCGGCCCCTATGCATGGATACGGTGAGGAGAGCAAATGAGTTACTTCAAGTCAAATGCAGCAAAAGTCAAATGCGAGAGATATAATCCATGAAATTTCATCCATCTGCTTTAAGGTCAAATGACGAATCATGTCACTTCCCGTACTCAGTGATAAACAATGGAACTAGTTCAGAGCGATCACTGAAATAAAACTAGAAGCAAGTTTAAAGATGCCTCCAAAAAACTTATTTTATGTTTTTAAATTAGATGCTGTTAAAAAAAATTATAAAAAAGACAAATTGCCAGCTAATAATTAAGGCCTCACAAAAGACAAGATACTTTCTGTTGCAGAGTTTCGGAGCTGGTTGTTAAACTTGCTCACCTGATCCAGAACTTTCCAATAGACAAGTTTGAGGTTTGGAGGTCATTGGGTCAAATTTCAACCTTCCTTTGCTAATGTGGGACTGATGGTGAAACGTGACCAAAATATGTTTCACGACCAGAAAATTACGCCAAACACGTCAAAGATGGCTTCAGATGAACAAATATTGTTTTTTTTTAATTTGCGGTGACAATCCACTTGGCATAACTTTATGTCCTCAGGGATCCCGTTTGATTTTTTTTTCTTTGGTTTTTGTTTATCACTAAATGCAAATGAATATTGGTTAGCTTACATGTGAGTTTAGTCATTAGCATTTTATCTATTAGCACAGCTAAACATAGCAAGAAAAGCTCATTTCCTTCATGGAAAAGAAGAGTGTTAATTGGCAGACTGGTTTGCAAACACAGCACTGGAAGAAAAAAAAAAAGAAAAAGTGAAACGTGCCCATAGAGAAGGATTAAAGAACTCAAAATCTGTTCTCAAAGCCCGACTAGAAAGTGGTTGGCACTTTCCAAATCATCTGTCAACCAGGCCGAAATACCTGCCAGTCAGACGGACAGCAAAACGCAAACGGAGAAGAGAGGAGAGCAATAACATCGTTCTCTCCCCGGTGCTGCGTTGCACTTTGTTTCTCTCTGAGGTTTAATTTATTTAGAGCCGGTGCCATTGCAAAGAACAAAACCAAAGTGACTCCATCACCTCCAGAGTTTTATTCAACCTATTATATTGATGACCAACTGAAGAGAAAAGCATCATTATCTCCTGTCGCCCTACAGCGGTTCCACTAATGGAGCCGTAATTGGTGCAAATTACAAAGCGAACAAGTTGCGGCGTAGCCTTTGGAACAGTGAGATTAAGACGCTTTCGCCCATGTCGCATTGCAGGAGAGGCCCCTCTCGACTCGACTCATCGCCTCTCTTCTCCTCCTGTTCCGTCCACCTTTGTTTTGTCTTTTTTTTTTTTTTTGAGCCGGCGGGTCACAGAGGGCTTAAAACAACTGCAGCGGTTTATGCAAATGCAATCGATACTGGATTGCCCCCCCCATCCCTCTTTTCCTGCTTTCTCGCCTCAGCCCCCATCTCCTAGTCTAACAAGAGACTGCAGTAAGGGCATTAATTAGTGCCGGACATGCTCCAGCGATCCCTCCGCAGGGCTGAGCGCCGAGGCTGTTTCCTACCAGGTCAGGAGACGGTAGGTTGGGCCCTGACCACAGCAATCAGGAGACAATAGGGGATGTTAGCAAAGGCAATAGGCACAGAGCAATCTTCACTTTATTAGCTCTGAAACCAGTTTTGATTCGAGTACTGAGCTGTACCGACTACAATTTAAATCAGTAACAAATAGCAACTCAAAACGAGTCGTGATGTTTGCCACAAAGAGAATATAAAAAGTCTCCCGAAAAAGATGTCAAAATCCCGTATTCACCGGACACTGATGTGATTCAAAATGTTACAGAAAGCAGATATAGAGAGGCTAATATGGGAGCCAACAGGAAGTGGATGGTGTGGCTGCCGTGTTTGATCCTAATGTGAGGAGTTTAGAGTGACGGATTGCCAAAGTTTCTTTAAAACAGGCCAAGAAACAGACAAGTACATGCAGCTGATTTGAACATCAGGGATGCTTCTCATTCTGGATACGTCGAGGTTGAGAAAAACAGTAAGTCCAAACGGCAAACCAGGTGCTGACCAGAGTATCTGGTGAGGTAAGGTCAGCGACCGCGTGTTCGGTTTTGTAACAAAGAAATATTTAGCTTCATCTAACCTTTTCAAATGAGTTAAATATAGAGTGAAACATATTGCTTAGTGTCTTTACCATGTTTAAGGCAGGCTGGGGAATCTTAAGATCATTACGTGTTTTTCGGC